CACACACACACACACACACACACACACTCTCATTCTCTCTCTCTCTCTCTCTCTCTCTCTCTCTCTCTCTCCACGTGACCCAAAGAAGGAAAGTGCAAAACGGGCTTCTTTGTTTTTCAATTTCTTGTTTTTTTCTGGGCAGAAAAATGTTTTTTTGTTTTTTTGTTTTTTGTTTTTTTGTTTTTTTGTTTTTGTTTTGATGTGTACCTTCCGGTAGCTCGCGGCTCGGCACGGTGCGGGATACCCACGGGCCCTGACAACGGGTAGGTACTGGTGGTTTAACATCCACCTTGGGCTAGTAGTGGGGGTGGTACGGGCATCACCTCTACTACAGTAGGTTCACTTGGCAGATGGCTCCAATCTATTCGTGTGAAGGCTAGTCTCGCATTTGGGGAGAGGTGAAGCGAGACCCATTATCAGACTTGAGCACCACACTCCCAGCCGTCCTATGACAAAGAGCGCATGAGCAACTGCTGTCCCATCGGCAGCTGCCCATACACCTTTTATAAACAATTTTTCCCCGGCGCACCGGTACTTCCGGAGGTCCCGGCGTGCATGCAGACAGCCATTGCTCCAGCGCTGAGTGCAGCCATTGCTCCAGCGCTGAGTGCAGCCATTGCTCCAGCGCTGCGACGTTCTCACTCAAAAGAATTTGTGCCAGTGCCCCGGGCCCATTCGTCCCAGCACGTGGAGGCGCGCATGCGGCCACGATCTACGGAAGTACGGTACGGTTGGCGCGGCAGGCTGTGAGTCCAGTGACCCAAGCCGCGGCCTCGTTTGGTACGTGGCCCACCCACAGCCCGCACTGGAGTGGTTTCCAGCTGATCCCGTAGTTCCTACGGTACGTGGGCGGTCCCGTCGATCTCTGAGAGTAATGGTCGATCTGAGAGTGTCGGTGAACCCTGTAGGGGTAACTGCAGCTGACTGCAAAGTCAACCCCCTCCCCACTTAAACAGCGGAGACGAGAACAGGTGCAGACGGAGAAGAGCTGCTTTCGACGTGCTGAGGTGGAAATGGAGGCCACGTGTCACTGAGGTCAAGATGGGCATGAGGTTAAGAGAAAGCTCGGGGAGGACCAAGAACCGTGGAATTCGTTACAGTAGCATCACAAGGATGTATACGTGTCCTAGGACTCGACGATCTGCCGAGGCGGGGGGAACGGGGAGGCCAGACAACGAACTACTGCACGTAGACAGGACGTGGAATGACGCTCAAGCGGCTCAACGGCCGCTTGCCGCGGACTTGAACGTGGCGAGTGCGCAAAAGGAGCGAAAAGGAGGAGGGGGAGGAGGAGAAGGAGGCGGAGGAGGAAGGAGAGGAGGAGGAGGAGGAGGAGTAGGGAGAGGAGATGTCAAGACTAGTCGATGGCCACTGCGGGTAGTTGGGGTGGTGGTACTGCTTGTCATCTCCTTAGTCGTTCATCCCTGTCCATGTGATGCGGTGCCTGATGGGTGTAGCGGTCTGCTAGCGAGCGTATCGGCTTCGTGTAACGTGATGGATGTTCTTCTACAGAGGCTGTCCCGAGACTCCACGTGCTGCGCGGCCGTGGTTGCTGCGAATCGTCAGTTCTGCTTCTGCGATGAAGAGCTCGTCAAATCGATATCAACAGTGTTCGGCATCTCCACGTCAATAGCTCCCAAGGTCGCCGACGTCTGCGGCGTGCCTGCCGACGAGGTCCGCATCTATCACGTCAGCGGCTGCCCAGGTCAGTGAGCTCACACTCCCTGAGCGCAGTTGTTCTCACCCTGCTGAGCCTGCTGAGCCTGCTCCTCTCACTATCCCTCGTGCTCCGCCATCTATGACATCAACGGCTGTGCAGGGAAGTCAGCCCACACCAAGCGGGCTTGTACTCACCCCGCCCGCTCCTCCCACTGTCCCTCGTCTTTCAGATCCCTATCCCTTCACCCACACCAACCTTCGCTCCACCTCTTCCCATCCATGTGACTCAATGCCCGTTGCCCGCCGATGGATGGAATAGACCATACCCAGCGATGGTCTGTCCGACTGCCAGCTCTATAACCGCGACGACTCCATGTTAGCTCCCCGTTTACTCAACACTTCCAGAC